CTCTCTTTCTAGTACAGTTCTTTATTGTAGAACAAAACCTGCTCATACGAGTATATCCAGTTTTCCTATATTTGGTTGTATTTTTTTGCGTACCCTATGAGTGATCATTTACTATTTATTTCTTACTGGTCCTATAAAATAGGCAATTTCCGGTACAAAACGAAAATTTCTTGTTTAACGCCGCAAATTGGAATTAGAAAAGTTGTGTAAAATCGGCGCCTGGTACAAACCTCCTAACGCTTCTTCGTCTCTAATTTCGAACACTTCGCCCGTTTGCCAGCCAGTTTATATGCGGTGCTTTGTGAACTTTAGGTAATTAAAGGAATAGTAGAATCGATATTAAAATATCTATCCTTATAAGTATTGTCTAGATCAGTTTGTCAAGGTAATTAGAAATAGAAAATAAATGATGAATTACCAACTTTTTTGAACTGGGGATGTGATTATTGCGAATATTTAGTTTGACCTTTTCTACATGTTATCTATTTGTCATAGATTTTTATTAGCGTTAATTCAACAGAAATTTGATAATTGTTTCAAAAGCCCTGTAAATGATGCTATTCGGGAAACTGGTTGCCCAAGTGGTAGGTACCACTAGGTATTCTATATCGTACCTGCCCTCTAAAATATATCTCAAACATATCTACATATTCTTGTAGAATATAGAATATGGAATGACTTTGAATGGTCAATATTGGGCCTAGTGGGGATTAATCAACACGAAATTGTTTAATACCTCGGATAAAATTTAATGTTTTTTGATGATTCAAAGTTTGTTTAAAAGGTAGAATCAACAGCTATCAAATTTGGAACTTTTGTGATATTTTATGAAAATAAAAAAAACGGGCAAACATTCCTTAACCCAAAAATTTTCAGATTTTTACAAACTTATTCATATTTTCACTCGGCGTATTTGTCAAGATTTTTTTAACAGTTGTTCTTAGAGTCTCTTTAAGCAACTCACAAAGTTTGAAGTATTTGTTTAATCACATTTTAATAAAAAAAACAAGTATTCGTGAGTGGCTTTTCCGCTTTTTTGGGATTTCCGGAAAGTGTCGTAAACAAAAGAAAATTGTATAATAACGAATAGCCGAATTTGTTTCTTTTTACGAACAATTTTACGAATGTATGTTTTCATGATCAAATTACATTTGATCATGAAAATCCTCTAGGTATATGACTTCTGAACACTTTTAGAGCCTTTTTTTCTAAACACTTCTAAACACTTTTAGAACATTTTCCGAGCCTTTACGAAAAAAAGTGTCTGGCCCTTTTTTGTAGATAATGATCCAAGCTTCATTTTTTATTCCAAGAAAAATTTTGTAAATTGCATATTTTAGCAGATATTTGCCAGAAAATGATTTTTGCTCCATTTGGGTCATTGGGTCATTTTTTCGGCCAAAGCTGGCCGAGCATGGTGTTACAATTTTTTTCACTAAAACTACCCCTAAAAGGTACATAATCCGCCTAAAAAGTCACGGTCGACGAATTGACTTTTTGTGTCCTTATTTACTGGGCTACGATTTTCGGTTTGAATTTGACATATCCTTTCCCTCTAAAGGTCGATTCTCATTATACTTTCCGTATCAGCTACCTTCCGTTTCCCTTCCTTTTACCTAAAATATATCATGTAAATGAATAGGATAATGTACACTATCCGTTCCGTATCCCTTCCGTTCCATATTCTTCCCTTCCAAACATTTTTTTGGCGGACGGACTGAAGCGTATCGGAAACAGCGTTGTCAAGTTCTTACATTTGTACCAGCTCTGTTAACATTTTGCTGATATGTATTCTTTCACCTCTTAATTAAATCTATTACCTTTTTCAAAGATACAAATATTATTTAAAATAAAACTTTCGTAATGATATAAATTATACAATAAAAAAATATGGAACTGATACGGAAACGAAGCATTGTGTATAGCGTGAATACAATCAAATGAATAATTAATAGGGAATGGATATGGAATGGAAACGGAAGGTATAGTGAGAATCAACCTTAATACGTTCTCACTTGAGACTGGCTTGGAATCTAAGGCTTGGAATTGATATCTATTCTATACTTGACAAACAACTCTTTGCAACTTTTGCGTATCAGATATTTGTATTTTGGGTAAGAACTAATGAGAAATTGCTACGTTATATTATTATATCAGGATGATTTTGATAATTTTACGTTTGTAACATGATATCATGAATTTATTTCCGATTACTGAGAGACTTAAAATTATCTAAACTCTAATTTACTACGTACGAGGTCACGGTCTCGGGGGTGACATGTACCGTATAATTATTTTGTTTTCCCTTTTATTACTGGTTTGTCCTTGACCAAGACACGCGAAAAAGGGAAAAACAGCAGCATCCCTAAGGAATTATACACAATATTCTAGCGTTAGGGTTATAGAGCAACAGTAATAAATTCTCGTTTGCTATGGTCTAGATATTAAACCTCCAGGGAATTTCATGGTCTATTATAACAATTAATTTGGTATGAGAGGTTAAATTGAATATTAACTAGATTATGTTTTGATCTTTACTTAATTGATTTAAACGTCGCTCTACAGGTAACTCATTTGTCTCTCACTAGGCATTACTTACAACAATATTAGATGTTTAGATGTAGATTATATATGGTAGGGAGAAAATTAATCACTACAGGGTGGCGCCTGTCATACGCCGCGGAGGCTCCAAGGAGAACGGCAGTTTGCATTGAAATGAAATTTTGTGAGCATATGTAGGTTAATTCAGAGCACTTAAAATATAGAGAGTTCTACAGGGTGTTCCCAAAAAAGTTACATATCAAAGTTGTGTTTTTTGTAAAGGAACACCCTATATATTAATTGATTTTCGGATTCTGGGAGAAAAATAAAGGTGAGTTTTATAAAAGAAGAACATAACTAAAATGTAAAGTTTTTGATTAGTTAAAATATCTAGGAAAATATTTGTCTGAGGGGTAGGCAACCTTAATAATATTTTGAAGATATATCAATTCCCCATTGAACAACGGAAAATATACTGGGTGTTCCATTTAAAATAAAGGAGTAACTTGCTTTTGAAAGTGACTGATATTCCATATTAATTTTGTCTCACCATGTATAACTTTTCGGGTCAAATTTTAATTTGGTTTAATAATTCAATGGTTACTGTAATTAAATATTAGGCTATACAAGGTCAACTAAAATTTAGGTAGCTGTTATCGAAATTTAAAATTTACTCTTCATTTTCACAAAATATGAAATATGTCAAAATCCTTAGATTTTAGGTATATGCTTCTTTAATAAAACTTTCCTTTATTTTTTTCCTAGAATGGAAAATCAATTTCTATATAGTATGTATGTTCCATTAGAAAAAAACACAACTTGGATGTGTAACTTTTGTTGGGGACACCCTGTATAATTTTATATATTTTTATAAAATGCTTTCAGTTAACCTTCATAAGCTGCCAAAATTTCATTTCGATATAAACTACCGTTCTCCTTGGAGCTTCCGCGGCGTATGAAAGGCGCCACCCTGTACAACCTTATAAATCAATTGGGTCCCACTTTGTTTAGTTAACTTATATCATATAGTCTCAGGGCTTTGACAAAAGCCAGTAGCTGAGACGGTTTAATACAGGGTGGTTCTCCATCTCCGATGTCAGTCGTACTAAAAATTGTGGTACGAATGCTTGTCATCTAGGCGCGCTCAGTGATGTGGTGTCCTGGTGTTTTCCTATTTCCTCCTCAGAATCTACATTTGCTGTTGTTTCTTCATTGCTTCCATTGCCTTGGTTCATTGAGAGTGTCCTGTTAAAAACCCCGTGACAACCCAAAGATTGTTCGTACTTCAGTCAAAAAAAAGAATCTTTGATTTTTCTCGGTTGTAAGTCCTGACAAATTTCTTCGAGTGTCTTAGACCGTTGGGGATTGCCATTCCAGTCCAGGTTCAGGATGGAGTCTTTTATGTTCGTGAGTTCTGATTTAAGTTGGTTTCCACTTGGAAAGCAGAACGGTTCTAGTCCGGTTAGAGGAATGTTCGCTAGATTGTTTGCTCTTTCATTACTTTCTATTCCCAGGTGAGCTCTATTTGAGGTAGAAAAACTTTTTTTCTTTGCCTAATTTGTTCAGCTTTCTCTAAAAACCAGTGAGTTTTTCGGAAAAACTCTTAAACACGTATATTTTATTTTGTTGTTTTACATATTTTAAGATTTTTTATAAATTTATACAGGGTGTTTCATAAAATATGACCATTGAGTAATCATGATTCTCCTTAAACTGCTTGACGTTTAAAGCTGATTTTTTTTAGTTACGCATTGGTATATCAACCAATAACAATATGCAGTGGTGTTAGGTCTAGGATAATCTCCATTACTGCTGTTGGGCACATTCTCATAGATCCTATGATGCAGATGCATGTCAGACGTTTTGCACAGGTTCTAGTCCGGTTAGAGGAATGTTCGCTAGATTGTTTGCTCTTTCATTACTTTCTATTCCTAGGTGAGCTCTATTTGAGGTAGAAAAACTTTATTTTCTTTGCCTAATTTGTTCAGCTTTCTCTAAAAATCAGTGAGTTTTTCGGAAAAACTCTTAAACACGCATATTTTATTTTGTTGTTTTACATATTTTAAGATTTTTTATAAATTTATACAGGGTGTTTCATAAAATATGACCATTGAGTAATCATGATTCTGCTTAAACTGCTTGACGTTTAAAGCTGATTTTTTTTAGTTACGCATTGGTATATCAACCAATAACAATATGCAGTGGTGTTAGGTCTAGGATTATCTCCATTACTGCTGTTGGGCACATTCTCATAGATCCTATGGTACAGGTGCATGTCAGGCGTTTTGCACAGGTTTTGCCTTCCTGTACGTTGCTTTAGTTTTGTGCACAAGTAACTGCTTACAACAATATTAACAAAGATATATGACAAATCAATTAAATTTTTATATTTCTAATCAAGCAAAAATATGTCTTAACTTGTTATAACGATTAATAATTATTATATTTATTTGTTACAGACAAATGTATCAGAACCCAACCGAGAGTTGTCAAGCAAACGATTTTGCGAACTGCCTTCCTTACGATATGGTCCTATGGGTGCCAAAGCTACAACGACGGGACCTTTGACGTTGATAGATAATGCCAGTGATATTCAGATATCCAGAGAACGAAAATATTCCTGGAGCAACAACGATTTGGATAAGGACAGACCTATCAGACCGGTAAGAAAAGTCAGTAGTTTTCGATATTTACTTATTCTTGACAAAATGGTGAAGGTAAATATAAACTGTTTCTCACACATCTATTATTAATATCCTTGTTTATATTAATATTAATAGTATCCCCATCAATAAAATAAAAAAGAAGAAATAAAAAGTCTCGCAATGCAGTTTTTCCAATACAAAAAGTTGAAAGATATCATGTAAAAGTCAGTTAATTTTAGTTTAGTGACATATTTATTATATTTACCGTATCAATATTAGACAACTTTAGGTATTTCTATAAAAAATTAGCGATCGACGTGATAACGCCGGAAAAATAAGGACCCGATCATTGTCGCCAAAATTAGGGTATTCCCCAACATACTATTGTAGGTACTTCCGGCGATTTAATTTGCAAATTGCAGGATATAGTCAAAGACTAGTGCTAATAGTTAATCTGTAATATAACTATGCATATAAGGAATTTCTTTGGAGAATAATAAGAAAAAAGAGAAAATTTGGAATGATTTGTAACTGTTTGATTTTCCAACCTGATTTCTTTGCACTAATTAATTATAAACTCTCGACATTCTCGATCGTTCTCGGAGAGCGTTCTTCAAAAATAAAATCTTGAACATTTTGTAGCACTACACTGTAGAACCTGAGTGACTTTCTAAAGTCTAATATTTTTTCAAACTTTCACAAACTTTGCAAAGTGAAATTTTACAAAATTATTTAGAGATATTTAATAATTATTACCAATATTATTACCAAACGATACTATTTCTCAATTAGTTTTGCGTGTTTATAAATGAAATTATCATAAATACAATTTTTGGTTAGGTTGGATTATTTAATGGAATGGTTGGATTAGGTTAATGGAAAAATTTTATATTCTCATCAATTCTCTGGACGGTAGAGATGAGTAACAAATCGCAAACTGCGATTTAATCGCAGCGATTTTAAAATCGCTATCACAACCTGCGATTGGCGCTCACTGGAAACTGCGACTGCGATTTTCTCTATTTGCGTGTTTCAATTTAGGCAATTAATATTACTATAGTTGCGGTTTGAAATTTTGCTGCGATTTGCCACTTTGTTGCGATTGTGATTTTGTAAACTAGGACCGTGATAACCTTCTATCTGCGAGTTTCAATTTTTAGGAGTTGCGATTTGCTGCCAATGTAATTTTGTGGTCCATTGAAGCATTTTATAGTAAACTGCGAAGGCATTTTTTCTCTGATTTTATTTATTTATAGAGAAGGTATTATTTTCTAGGGCCACGATCAATAATATACCGGGTGTTTCTCAAGAGTGGTTCGCCTCCATAACTTTTTTATTTTTTTTATAAAAACGAGATTTGGAGAAAATGTAAGCATATGACATAAATTAGGATTGATTGACGTATTCAATTCGTTTCGATCACTTCCTGTTTCATTGGAAATGACTACAACTCAAAAGTTGTAGTTGGTTAGTTTTTAAATGGCACCCTCGGTATTTTTTTACTTAATTCGATAGAAAATGACACTCTGAATATAATGCCTAGTACAATATTTAAATATTAATATCGCAATCGCAGGATACAGTCGCAGCGATTTATCGGCCACACCAAATCGATCCCCTGAGTGCGAGTCAAAAAAACCGCCGCGCCGAGACAGATTTTCTATATTAATCCGGCTATAATAAATACCCTTTCGATTATTTTAAAATATCCTTTAACAAATCTCTTCCAGCCTCGCCGCGTCAGGTTTACCCTGCCACCGCCCGATGGCGCCACCGACACCGATCCACCCCGACGCCGCCAGAGCGACGTCGGCGTCGGCTCGCGCGACGTAAACACGAAAAAAGCGACGCCGGCCGCCGTCTTCAGTCAACGACCGATCGTCGCCGCGACGCGAAATATAACGAGCGGCATCGTCAAAGCGGAGGAAAAGCGCGTGGAAAAGCCGCCGCCGCGAAGACGGAAAAGTCTAGCGCGACGTTTCGAAAAGTTCCGGCACCATCATCAGGCTAAGAGAGGTTACGAGTCGGAAGCAGTAGAAGTACCGGTTAGTGTCAGTCCAGGTGAGTTTTAGTAGATTGTTAGCAACCTGAAAACATTTGTTTTAACGCACTTGTAAACAGTACAAAAAAATTTATACAGGATGAGTATTAAAAAAGTGCAAATATTTTCAGGGCTGGTAGATCTCGATAAAAGAACAAATTTTTTCTTTATCGTTTTTCAAATAAAACGAAAAAAACCTCATAGACGTGTTTCTGGAGTCGAAATATACTACCTTAAAAATATTTACACTTATTTAAGATTCACCCTGTACAGAAAGGTTGCCTTTTATAATTTGTATACCGGGTGCGTCTCAAAAGTGGCTCACCCCTATAAGTTTTTATTTTTTCGCATAAAAAACGAGGTTTAGTATGTTAGTATATGACATAAATTAGAATTGATTGACGTATTCAATTGTTTCTGGTCACTTCCTGTTTCACCGGAAATTACTACAACTTTTGATTTTTAAATGGCACCATCGGTATTTTTTTACTTTATTCGATAGAATATGAAATTCTGAATAGAATGACATACCATATGTCAATTTTTGACATTCTCGCTTAATAAAAAATTGTATTTTAAATTTCAATCTAGAGTTGCCATGGCTATGCTTAAAACACTAACTCTGCATCAAAGAGCCTTGGAAAAATAGATTTGATGGTTTAATGTTTTTAGTGTCTTGTCTTATAATATTGCGAAAATTGATATAATCTTTAAATATCTATTACCCTAATTTCCAGGTGTCCGAGACAGAGTCCACCCGACTGGCCGCTACGTCAGAGGCACGCTGTCCCCCACGTCCAACCAGGGCCCCCAGGAGCCGCCCCTCACGCCAGGGGGGTTGGCGCTGCTGGGGGCCGCCCGCGATGGGGACGATCAGGCTCTCAGGGATCTGCTGAGGAGAGCGCTGGCCATTGGTATCAGCGATACGGATTTGAATGCTACTGATTCTAGTGGAAGGGTGAGTTTTTAAAACATTATCTTTTAGAAAAATGTTAACGTGGTTTTTATAATTTTAAAGACGTCTTACTATTTTATCCATTTATTGTCTAATGGAGAGAACTTATATTACGATCTATTGTGACCCAGTAACAGAAACTAAATTTTACTCTGAAGTCGCCATTATGATTGTCATCATATCTCAGTGTAATATGCCATCAAAGTTTGCATACACCATCAGCATCATCATTTACAGCTTCTTCAACCATTTTCAATTATGGCATAGCGTCCCTCACATATTTAGATAGTCTCATTGTAGTTGGTCCCATTGTTGTCTTCTAGGTCTCTGAATTCCTCGTGGGTACCATACTGTAATTTTTGTGGTCCCTCTGTTGCCCGTTTTTCTTGCCAGGTGTCCTGCTATTGGAGGAGCTATATTAGACTCTTCTTAATAGACTTAATAATTAGATTATAACATATTTTTAGTATAAGCACAACCAATTTTTGTACATCTTAATCTAGGTAAAGATAGAATGGATTAATGTTTTTCAATTAATGCTAAACTTAATGCTACATTGATGCTCACATGTAAGAAATAGAAAACGTGGTTTGAATTCGCCCTGCTATTAATTATAGGCATACTAATATTTTATACGATACAAACACGTGCTTCGATGTTATCTATCCCTCTCTTGTTCTCCTTCACCGCGAGGTTTATGCCTTTGACATAGCACCGGTATCCGGTATATCGCCTTCCTATCTTGGCATGAACACAAATAGGGATATATGAATAACTTATCTCTTTCAGCTACATTATACTATAGTTGTCTTCGTCGTTGAAGCTTAAAAGGCTTACAGAATTTAGTGTGCAATATTTATGATAGTCGCTTTAGTAAATTGAGGTGCCTCTGGTGTATAGTATAACATACAGTGTGAGTCAAATACTATGCAGAAGTTTGATAAATATAAAAAATATGTAATCTCTTAGACAGATGATACATGATAGATACATGATAGATACATGATAGATACATGATAGAGACTTTTTTTGTAGATAATTCAATTTCCTACAAATATATGAGACGAGATATTTTTTCCAAGTAGTAGATACCGAGATATGAATTTTTCTTTCTAATAATGAGGAAAAATAGAAAACTGAATGGCGGATGACCTTCCTATTAAAATTAAGAGCTCATACTTGGAGATAGTGATGGGTAAAACTGTTATTTTTAGATAACAGTTGAAACTGTTATAGTTATTTATAAAAAACAGCTTAAAATAACAGCTAAAAAATAACAGGTTTCTTAATTTTATTGCTAAATATCTGAAAGAGTATGAGGCGGTCACCGCCAGGCGTATTAACGCAGTTGCAAGTTGCAACAATAACGTGCTCGATGGTAGTATTTCCAGGGTGTCAAAACATTTCTAAATATCGATTGTTATCTAAATACCTCTCTAAAAACGGTGGTTGTTTACAAATAAGCGCTGTTTACAAATTGCGATATAAAAAAAGCCAAAATTCGGCCACTTGTCTATACCTATACATTCCGATCTACCTTCGCCCTGCCCCTCGATCCGCCTGAATTGCGTAGTACAGGGTGCATCTCACTCGACGGGCGAGAAGCTCTTAGTCATGGTTTTGCGGTCAAAAAATAGCAATATAAGAAAATGTGTAGTATATTCTTCCTTCATAAGTAAACCAACTACACACTAGAGTTCGAATTAATTTTACATTTAAACTAGCGTGTACTCGTGACTTCGTTCGCGTCGAATTAAATAATTTGTAATGGTGATGATAAAGCAAGAATTTCCATTAACATACAAACTGGATAAAATTTTCTCACATTTGCCAAAAATAAGCTTTAAACGTCGAACAGTTTAAGCAGAATCGTGGTTAATCAATTACTCAACTTTTTCGAACACCCTGTATGATTTTTTAAAAAATTTCAAAATATGTAAAAAAAAATAAATTATGCGTGTCCAAGCGTTTTCCCGAAAGACTAACCGTTTTTTAAATAACAAATATTTTAATATTTGAGGGGCGTTTTTACCCTCTTGGAATTTGAGATTCGAGAAACCCCTCCTTATCGAACCTCAACCCCACAGTCAATCCGTTTGCCAAAAATCAGCTTTAAACGTCAAGCAGTTTAAGCACAATCGTGATTACTCAATGGTCATATTTTATGAAACACCCTGTATATATTTTTAAAAAATCTTAAAATATGTAAAACAACAAAATAAAATATACGTGCTTAAGAGTTGTTCCGAAAAACTCACCGGTTTTTAAATAAAAAAAATCTATATTTGAGGGTGGTTTCACCCCTTAGAATTCGTGTTTCGAAAAATCCCTTCTTATCGAACCTCTACACCCTAAAGTCAATCCGTTTTCCAAAAATCAGCTTTTTACGTCAAGGGCTTTAAGCAGGATCGTGATTAATCAATGACCAAATTTTTCAAAACACCCTGTATACATTTTTAAAAAATCTTAAAATATTATTCTGAAAATTTTTCAGAATAAATAAATACCTAAATATTGAAACTTACTAACTAACTACTGAAACATACAGCGCCATAATATCTCGACCCCCGCCCGTTTTGCTCGTAACAGGTTGAAAAACAATGTATCTAAAACAACTGATGCGTTATTCTCCAACCTGTTTCGAACCTCCATCGACAATCGACCGATGCAGCAGCGTTACTTTCCCACTCCGAGTATCTCGACCGCCGCTCTGTTATGCTCGTAACAGGTTAAAAAACAACGTATCTAAAATGACTGCTTCTCCAAACCGTTGCGAGCCTCCATCGACAATCGACCGATGCAGCAGCGTTCCTTTCCCACTCCTGTTATCTCGACCGCCCGGCGTTATGCCCGCAACTGTTTCAAAAAAGCTGCTTCTTTTTTATCCTATTATTTTTAAGCTGTTGCCAGCCCCACAGGACCATCGACCGATGCAGTTACGTTCGCCGCGCCGCGCTGTAGCGCATTTCCCACTCCGTTGTCGATGGTTGTCGAAATAACATGTTTTCCATCCATAATCCATACTAGTTGTTTTTTTGGAATTGCTTCGAGCAGCATCGAATTTCGTGGCGGTATAGAGCGCCGACTTCGTTTCACGAACGGTCGATCTCTGCGTATCGTTATTTTATATCTGTTATTTTTTAAGAGTAGTAACGGTTGCGTTATGTTATTTCGAAATAATTGTTATAAAATAACAGATAGTTAAATAACAACCCATCACTACTTGGAGAGAATTTTTTTGAGGTGTCTACCAACCTTTTTTCAGAGTATAAAGTGACAAAAATACTCAATTTTTTTAACACATCCTAGTTCATCTATTAGATACCTTGTGAATGCGGTGAGTTGTATATTGGAGAGAAAACTTTTTTTAAATGTACGTCTTAAAGAACATAAAAACACATGCACACAAAATTATTTGAAAGATTGTAAATTGCTAGAGTCTGAAGAAGATATTTAAAAATAAGAGTATACCAGAATATACTCGTATTTTGATTTTTAAAAAAAATTGGTGTGTCATTTTTACGACGAGATAATAATAAAAACTATAACCCACTGGTTTTATTTTTCATTGTAGATATATTTGTGTAACTATCATTTATTTTATTTCACCATCATAATCATAATGTCCAGCTTCTGCACCCATTTCCAATTATGGTGTAACCTCCGTCACATATTTAGTAACCTACTCTCTTTGTAGTTCAGCTCAGTGTTGTCTATTGTTGGCTATGCGGGCCCAAGTTATCCCTGCTAATTTCCTAATATCATGGTCCCATCTCCATTGATTCTGTGGATACCTGGATCTTTTGTCGTATCCACTCTATTCATTTACGGTCTCTCTTGGTTATTCCCAGCACATTTCGTTCCATTGAGCGTTGTGCGATCTGCAGTTTTCTTATAGTGTCCGTTTTAAGGTTGATTCTCACTATACCTTCCGTTCCATTCCATATCCGTTCCGTGTTTTAATTGTATTGACGCTATACGTAAGCTTCCGTTCCGTATCAGTTCCATACTTTTTTTGTAAAATTTATATCATTACGAAAGTTCAATTTTAAAAATTCGTATTTTTTTGAAAAAGGTAATAGATTTAATTAAGAGGTGAAAGAATAAATAAATATCAGTAAAATTTTAACAGAGCTGGTACAAATGTAAGAACTTGACAACGCTGTTTCCGAGACGCTTCAGTCCGTCCGCCAAAAAAATATATGGAAGGAAAGGATATGGAACGGAAGAGAAACGGAATGGATAGTAGATTGTCCTATTCATTTAAAAGATATAATATCTTATGTGAACGGAAGTGAAACGGAAGGGAGCTGATATGAAAGGTATAGTGAGAATCAACCTTATATTATAATGTTTCCCTTTCATAGATATTGACCAGATTACAAATTTTTGTAGTATTGTAAAGTTTGTTCGTAAGTTCATTCAAAACATTCTTAACAATATAATTTTTATTTTAACATCTTCATTTATTTGTCTAAAGTGCTATCTGTATCACTCCAAAAAAATTATAGAAAATACAAATATATTAATTGTATATCATAGTTCAAAAAACATCTGAGAATTGATGGCATATTTATTTAGTAGTAAGGATTCTTTAAAGGAATGTATTAGAAAATTACACTGAGAGGAGTTTGCTTATGCGTAGAATCTGACATTGATTAATTAGTTGTTTAGCAGCATCATGTACATCGAGGCTTTTCTGAACAGAATAGTTTTTCATCCACATTGGGTTTATAAATCGCGAACAACACCAATTTTTTTTATTTTCATTCAAAGTGGCATAAATATCTGCCCAGAAATCACAACGAACAAACAAAAGAAAAGAATCAATCGAATATGTCGTTTTTACTTTTATAAGACATAATTTCAATAAATATTCAAACAGCTAACTACGGAATACGTTTTTCTGCAAAAGAATTCTATGTAGTACATGCACACACGTATTCCAGCGTTTCCACTTGAATAAAAAATGCGAAATGGGTTAATTTGCAGCCAAAGAGAAA